CCAAAAAACTTGACAATCTTTTCATAATGATCATACCGTACTTGTTTAGCTTTCTGGTCATTTGCTGGTCATTGCTACGGTACTCTGCACATCGTTCTTTTGTAACGCGCATGATTTAGAAAGGTGAGAAACTGTGGATAACTGCAATGACCGACCAAACGATAATTGCATTTCTCATATTCATCAAATGAATTGATGAATATTTGAAATTTTAAATTTATACTACCGCTTCCCCCGCCTAGCGTGTCGGGGAAGTCAGCAATATAAACGTTGAATTCAACAGCTACTGTAACAAAGCAATACAATCTGCATATCTCAAAAAAATCTAAACCGATCAAGTCCAGCTGAAAATGGCTTCACTGTCATAGTGGTGGACCACTCAACCTTTTGTGACGATGATCGGCAAGATATTTTTTTGGAAAATGCAGACATGCATTACGATTGCAACGAGAAGAAGCATAATACAAACAGAAATGAAACAAATCAAACAATTACTCATAATAAGGAACTAAAAAAAATGCACTGTAAGTGGTACGACACTCCCTTCCTTCAAATCCATCCTGCCTACAAGCGAGTATCTGTGATAACAAAAAAGAAGCATCGAATACAAGAAGAAAGATGTGATATTAAGAATTGAAGCTTAAAAGAGAATGAAGAGAATGAAAGGGAGAGGACGAGAGAGAGAGAGGACGTGAGAGAGAGCGAGAAGGAGTGAGAACGAGAGGAAGAGAGAGAGAACCAGAGATCGAAAACGAGAGAACCAGAGGAAGAGAGAGAGAACGAGAGATTGAAAACGAGAGAGCGAGAACCAGAGAGAGAGAGAACGAACGAGAGAGAACGAAAGAGAGAGAACGGGAGAGAGAGAAAGAGAGAGAGAGAGAGAGAGAGAGAGAGAGAGAGAGAGAGAGAGAGAGAGAGAGAGAGAGAGAGAGAGAGAGAGAGAGAGCGAGAGAGAGAGAGAGAGAGAGAGAGAGAGAGATGAGAGAGAGAGAGTGAGAGAGGAGAGAGAGAGAGAGAGAGAGAGAGAGAGAGAGAAAGAGAGAGAAAGTGGGAGAGAACGAGTGAGAGAGAGAGAGAGAGAGAGAGAGAGAGAGAGAGAGAGAGAGAGAGAGAGAGAGAGAGAGAGAGAAGAGAGGGAGGGAGGGAGAGTGAGGGAGGAGGAGGAGGTCTGGAGAGAGAGAGAGGAGAGAGAGAGAGCTCGATCGCTAGAGCTCGAGAGCGAGAGAGAAGAGAGAGATCCTCTCGGAGAGCTGATCGATCTCCGCTCTCCTAGAGAGGGAAAGGAGAGCTTTCTTGATCCTTCGCTCCCTCTCTTTCGAGACCGAGAGAAGAATCCCGACCGGATGAACAACCTACTAATAACCCGGTAAGAAACTAAGAAACGAAAGATGGGAGAGAGAGAAGGAACCGAGAGGAGGGAGAACCGAGAGAGAGAGAGAGAGAGAGAGATAAGGCATAACTGATGGAGATAGAAGGAACGGTAAGAACAATAAGAAACTAAAAAAAGCGACGAAATTGAGCTAGACAAAACGGAATGAAAGAGAGGATGATACAACAGTAAGGCAGGATGATACATCATCTTCTGGTTAACATATACGTCTAGATCTCGTTTAAAAAAAAACTCTCAACCATAATGAGTTAAACTAGGACCCACTTGTCAAACAATATGTTCAATATATACCCTGCGTGCTGTAGTTACTGTAGTTATTATTATTAAGAGTTGGTGGTGCACCTTCTTTGTTGCTTTGCTATATGTACCTTGTGTGCTATAGTGAAACCCCTCTTTCCTTGCCTAAACTCTCTCGACACTTTCTCCTCTTCACCCTAGCATGGCTCCTCACCTCTAGCTACTATCTTGACATGGTACAGAGCTGGTTCTTTCCCGGAACCTTCTCTTTTTTTTAAGAATCATGGGCCCGCCCGTACTACAGCGCGAAATGCGCTATTTTTTTTTTTTCTCCCCGTTCGCCCGTCGCGCGCGCCCTGCCCGTCCCCCCGAACGTGCCACGTCGGCTGCCTCGCGGACGCCCCGTCGGCTGCCCCGCGGACGCCCTGCCCGTCGCCCGCTGCCCCCCCGTTTCGTCGCCACGCGGCCCCCATTTCGTCGCCACGCGGCCCCCGTTTCGTCGCCCCCGTCACCCCGCAATCCGCCAGCGCGGAGGCCAGCGCCGCGGCCAGCCGCCAGCGCCAGTTGCAGCTACCGCCGCCCCACCCCCCCCGCCCTCCCTTCCGCGGCTTCCGTCGTGGGGAGGGGGGAGGGAGGGGGAAGGGGTTGTGGGGGGGGGGGCGGGTGTGTGAGGAGCCTGCCACTCCTCCCTCCCTTCCCTCTTCCTCTCTCCCTGCAGCAACTGTTGCTGTAGGGGGGGGGGAGGGAGAGAGGGTAAGGGGGATGTGAGAGGGTAAGGGAGGAGGGGGAGATGTGTGGGGGCGTGTGTGAGCTGCCTGCAGCCCGTCCCTCCCTCTCTCTCTTACTGCAGGGATTGTCGCCGTAGAGAAGGGGGGGGGAGAGAAGTGCAGAAGGGTGAGGGGGTGGCGGGAGAAGACAGGTGCGGAAGGTGTGAGGTTGACGGGGTTGAGTGACGAGGGGGTGAGGACTAGGGGGTTCTTAACGGGGGGGGATCGCATTGAGCGTGCGCGCTCATGCCCGCCTAGCCCACCTCCTCTCCTCATCGGGACTTGGGGGTTCTTAACGGGGGGGGATCGCTATGAGCTTTCGCGCTCAAGCCCGCCTAGCCCACCTCCTCTCCCTTCCCTCTCTCACCTCCCCTTTGTAAAAGGAGGTTCGTAAGCGGGTCCGCCGGTCCTGGCCCCCCACCTCCTCTCCTCTCCTCTCCTCTCCTCTCCTCTCCTCTCCTCTCCTCTCCTCTCCTCTTCTCTCCTCTCCTCTCACCTTCCTCACTTCTCTGCCTTCTTCCACAGCGCTTGGTTTGCTCGTTCAGGGGGTGCTGGCTGCACCAGTTTCTACTGCACGCAGGCTAAGGGGGTGTGTCAAACAATATGTTCAATATATACCCTGCGTGCTGTAGTTACTGTAGTTATTATTATTAAGAGTTGGTGGTGCACCTTCTTTGTTGCTTTGCTATATGTACCTTGTGTGCTATAGTGAAACCCCTCTTTCCTTGCCTAAACTCTCTCGACACTTTCTCCTCTTCACCCTAGCATGGCTCCTCACCTCTAGCTACTATCTTGACACCACTCTCAACTAGAATGAGCTTAACAAATAGAGAGAATATGGCTTACCTTAATATGAGCACTAGTCTGGGGCGTGGGTAGCGTGAGTGACGTGAGGGACGGGAGAAGCTAGAGTGGCGTGAGTAGTTGGAAGAGAAACGAAGCAAAAAGGAATTTGACGAAACCCTAGGATGGGATGTTTTTCATTGCAAAACATTACTGGTTGAATTAGCGCCACCATTGGAACAGCGTGTTTGGCACAGCTTTATCGATGTGGCGTTCAATTGCGAAGGTTGGCGGCTCGAATCTGGTCGTGCACATTACTTCAGGAAATTCGGTTCTTGTTCCGTTTTGTAGTTTTGTTGTTTCCAGATTTCCAGTCACCATTAAACCAAATAATCTGAACAGAATAAGAATAACTTAACATAAAGAATGTTCTTAACATTCAGAATCTATATCCAAAACGACCACCCCTATTCATATATGTAAACCTATATTATATGTCAATATATATGTAAATAGCAGTAGTTCATCCAATATCGAAGTTATGTTACGATATTATATAATTCTCATTATATGTCAAGTGCAGCTTAAAATTTCAGTGTAATGTTGCTTCGCAACCCTAAGACGATTTCGTCGCCTCTTGTTTTTTTTTTCCAATCGTTTGATTATTGCACAACCACACGACCCACCCGGGAATCCGATATTCGAAGGTAGTCGCCTCGCCACAAATAGGATCTCTTCGCGCTAAACAGGGGACAACACTTCTGCCAGCAAATGCCGGTAGAGCCAATAAAGGTATTTCCCGCTTGACAAACGAAAACACCTCAGCAAGCAAAATGATTACACAGTACTGCCCTGCTCGACCGATCCGGCTACCCCTTCGTGTGTACTGTTCATCTACGTCACACGACCAGCCGCCGATCCGAAATCCAAGGGTCATCCCAACCGAGCCGCTCCACGTCATTACCGAATCCCGCCTTTTGAACGAGGAATGCGCGGTAACCCTGTTGAATGTCGCATCTCATTGGGGCGTCCGAACTTTCGCCAGTCTGACCCCCGCACCCACCTCAACCTATCCCTTGTCGGTGGTGTCTACCTGGCGGCTGACTTCCAGCGATCCGTCTAGCTAGCCCTCCCCGTGTGTCATTTCCCTAGGTAGAGTAGGGAGGGAGCCTATCTAGCTTTGTTTCATCTGGCCATTTCCGGTTTCATCTAGGTCGAATCGGTTTTCATCAACGGCTGAGATCTTTCGGACTGAGCAGCAATTTCGCCCTTCCATTTTCACATTTGCACAGGTCAGCAAGCCACCAGCACGACCAGACGCGTTTCCCCGTCTGGTTCCCCTCGTCGTCACCCCTCCCCCCCACCCCGCCCCGCGCCCTACGGTATATCGCGCTGTCTTGTCCTGTCACCTGCCCCCACCGATCCCCCCTCCCCTTCACTCTCTGCCCTCCCGGAATTTCCTCTGTTTTGCCTCACCTGCGCGGCTCTTGCCGCCCCTTCCGCTGGCAAGCGCAAGATAGAAAAGTAGCCGTGTCGCTAAAAGCATATATTTGCACTTCGTTGCCGTTCAACTCGCAAGCTCCTCAGCTCAAACCAGCAAAAATCAGTCAGTTCCTCCACTTTCTTCCTCTCGACTTTCGTTGAAGCAAGTCGTCGTCGCGATCTTTCGGATCCAGGTCGTTTGTTCGCCGCACGACATGGGCGTCACCAGGGGAGATTTAGATTGCGTGGGAAGCTCAGGCGCCGATGGAGTTTCGGGCTTCGAGCGTCGCACACAAACTACCGCCATGGTTGCGGCTCGCGCAGAACCAGCTCCACGGGTGATGTTCACAAAAGACGCGAGCAGCACTCCCGCTTTCGCCGCACTTGACATCGACTCGCTCTCTTTCACCGACAAGCCACGTGTCCTCCACGTGTTCGCCACGATCCTCAACCGCATCGTCGCCAGCAACGAATCCATCTCCACCGCGAATCTCGCCCCTGACAGCGCCGGAAACTGCGGCGTGAACTGCGTCGAGGACCACGCGTCGCAGCTGACCGTTTTCGACGGACTACGAGCTCCTGGGATCAGCATTGACAAGTATTTCGACCGAATCTTTAAATACGCCCGGTGCAGCCCGTCGTGCTACGTGATGGCCTACATTTTCATCGATCGGATCATGCAACGGAAGGACGCCATGCTTATAACGACGCTCAACGTCCATCGGCTGCTCATAACGAGTATTCTTGTAGCGGTCAAGTTCATGGACGACGCGTACTACAATAACGCGTACTACGCGAAAGTCGGGGGGATCTCGATAGAGGAGATGAACCGCTTAGAGCTGGAGTTTCTGTTCCGGCTCAACTTTCAGCTGAATGTAACTGAAACGGAGTTCTCCTCGTACTGTAACGTGCTGCATGAGCAGCTGCTCGCGGAGGAATCTTCTTCGGAGGGAGATGAAACGTCGTTCTCGCGGTCGTACGGTTTCTTCTTGCCTCAGCTCCTGGCGAGTACGCTCACTGGGAGTGGTCGGTGGAGCAGCAATACGAGTAGCAGCAGTTGTAACGGTAGCAACGGCGACGCAGGCGACAGCGGCAGCGAGATCGCGAGAGGCGACAGCAGTAGCAGCTGTGGCTTCGATAGTAGCAGCAGCGATAGAAGCAGCATTGGCGTCGGCGGCAGCAGTACTAGCAGTTCCCCTGCTACGAGTACAACCTCTTCAAATTCAGATACTACCTTCCCCAGTGCCACCTGCTCCGGCAGTACTACCTGCAAAGAACCCGTTCAGACTCATCAGCGACGGACGTCCATAACCGCCTCCGCGCTTTCCGCCGCCTCTAGCATCTTGTCTTTCTTTTCCCCGATGAAGCCCGTCTCTTCCGCCGCCGCTTCCGTTACCACTCCCATCTTTCCAGCTCGGCCGCGCAGCGCTCCTGCTTCTGTTACAAGTTCCCGCCTGGTTACCAGCTCGCATGCTGTAACGTTAGATTCGAGGTACCCAGACTCGGGAAATGAGGCTGTTGATTTTGTGGAGGGCCGCGAAGGCTCGGACGCGTGTGCCGTTGGCTCGGGCACAAGCGGCGAGTGGCTGCAGTTTGAGGCCCCGCGCGCGGGCTCGCCGCAGGCGGAGGTTCGGTAGCCGAACGAGCATTGGTGGTTCGGAAACACCTCTGACAGCTGTAGAGCTGTGGGTCTGGTCGGCCAAACGGTGCTGGTCGGCAACTAGAGACCTCGCTTTCGTGTGCTTCGTTATTTGCTATGGCGATCTCTCGCATTATACACCTCCCGCTCTTGGGTAGCTTCGGAGGGGGAAATGTATGGTGCAAGAGGAGGTGGACGCTTTGGTGGGGGTTAGGACATTGAGCTGTGCTTTTCTTGTTGATTCAGGGTACATTCCTGTGTGGACACAAATGTCTCAATCCCGTCACAAAACCTATGTATCGTTCTGCACCGCATTAAACCTAAGAGACAAACATTTGCACCGCACTGTATCTCTTCGTTTGATACACGATGCTTTTGTGACGCGCTTCAGGAATGTACCCTCAGAAATTTCTATTGCTCTTTCTATTGATTTCACTACAAAAGCGAAGGCTTTCTAATGTACTTCAATCCTTCAAAACCCACTATATTTTCAGCACAGCCTGGCCAGCAGAGTTTGTATCTATAATACCACAAGAAAAGCTACTTAATTTGGCAACACATATCCTGGGTTAGAGAGATGCACCAAAACCTATTAGTGTGTTAGCAGCCGTGCCAGCATGGCCGCACCTTTGCTTCTATCTTCACTGCTTGCGCAGAGTAGCTCAGCCGTGTCTCAGCCTCCGCTCAGAATGTAACGTCCATTAACTTGTCTCCACACAGAGTTGTGGGTAATTCCAGACTCAAAATCATCCATACAGCTCCCTTCACTGCTTTGGCCATTGCACCATTGGCAGCAGTCATAACTTACATATCAGCAGCACAGCCCCACGCCGCCACCAATAGCTTGAATCCCACTGTCAGCACGTCTGACACCAAGATCCCGCGTTGCATCAGCACTGCGTCCAACCCCTCAGTACCGCGCCACGAGGAACCAGTCAGCACCACATCAAACCCCTCAGTACCGCGCCATGACACACCCCTGTGGCTCCACGGGTCGCCAATTACTCTCTACCAACCACTGCATACCCCCCTGGCCCACCATGTTGTAGCTGTACCCACCCCCCCCCACCACCGCTGACGCCCCTCCCACAGCTACCGAGGGCCCGAAATCCGTCATGCACTTGTCGCTGCTCTCTGCTCCCAGTGCATCGTACCAACCTCCCTGTATGCGCGGGTTGTTGGCCGTTTCCACCACCTCATGAGCCACGATGCTGATCATCCCATCCACTCCCCGCTTGCCGTTGGGCGTTTTCCTGCCAGAACGGAGGGTCCGAGGTCGGAAGGGGGAAAAAGCCAGAGAGTCAGAATTGGGCACCTCATGAGCCACGATGCTGATCATTCCATCGCCTCCCCGCTTGCCATTGGGCGTTTTCCTGGGGAGGCGAGTCGAAGGAAGGGAAGGGAGAAGAGGGAGGGGGACAAAGTGGAGGTAAGTTGGCAATGGCAGAAAGCAGTGACAATGCATGTGTGTCTACGTTTGTGTGTGTGTGTGCACGTGTCCACATTGAAAGCAAAGCACTCACTTGCTGCCTGCTGTACCCTAGCATATCGTGCCGCACTTCTCACGGTTGCCCACAAAGGCATATTCCACATAAGCCACGCCGTCTGTGGCAAACGAGTGGAAGCGGCAGTAGCCCGCCCAACTTAATACAAGCACATAGCGTACACACAACACACCCAGCACGCACTCACTTGCTGCCTCCTGTGCGCATGCATCTCGTGCCGCACTTCTCGCCATTCCCCACAAAGCCGTATTTGATATAGCTCACGCCATCTGTAGCAAACGAGTGGAACCCGCAGTAGCCCGACCGCCCGCAGAACCCCTTCTCGCGGTCGCCCAGCGCCACGTCAGCACTCGTCAGCACGAGGTACTGCGCCGAGCTGTCGATGGGAAGGGCCCGCGTGCGCAGCTGTTGGTCGATTACTGGGGGAGGGGGAAAGAGGGGGAGGAAGGACGAGGGGGGGGGGGAAGGGGAGGGAGAAAGGAGGGGGTAAGAGGCAGGAGGTGTGGGGCGGATGGGGAGGAGAGAGAGAGGGTCAGACAGGGGAAGAGGGAGAGGTGAGCAAGGGTGGTGAAGAAGGGAAGAGATTTGGTGATAAAGAGGAGATGATTGTGAGAGGGGAGGTGGCGGAATGGGCACACAGGAAAATAGAAAGCAAGAGGAAGATGGGAGGAAATGCGCGAAATATGGCCAAAGATGGGCGAAGGTTGGCAAAAATTGGTGAAGAAAAGATGCGCAAAGGAGATCTTACTTTGCCAGACGCCCCCCAAGTCGTCTTTGATCACTCTTCCAAGCGAATACTTGTCGAATACTCGCTTGCGGAACTGGACCTGCTTGTAACGAGGATAGGGTCAGAAAGGCGCTTGTAACGAGGATAGGGTCAGAAAGGCAGAAGAGGAAAGCGGGGCCTCTGATCCATGTGAGTTAGGAAGAGGAGAGCAGGATAGCAGGCGCGCAGGCACGAAGGCGAAAAGCGAGAAGAGCTTGAACAGAGCGAATCAGTGTGTCTCGACTTTCGGCCATTTCAACTTCCCAAGTGCGTCGTACTATTTGCGATGACCAGGCGACGTACCTGCGACGACACGGACACGGTCTGGCCATTCCGCTTCATGGTGTACCACGTGGCGATCTGCCACCACTGCCACGCCGACACCGTCTTGGCGTCCTGCTCGCACATTCAGGCAGACACGCACAGACGCACGCACGCACACGCATACGCACGCGCAGACAGACAAAGCGCCGATGAGCGGAGAGGAGGTGCGCGCGGGGAGCGGAGAAGAAGGCAAAACACGATGGTTGGTTGCTCGAAGATACTCGAAGACAAAAACTCTGAACCGAAGAACTTAGACAAGAACCGTCAAGAGTTTCAAGGGATTTGGAGTCATATAAAGTACCTTGGGCGTGGTGTTGTTGTTGGAGAGCGAGTAGATAAAATTCTCCACGATGTTTACTTCTGACGAGGACCATGAGCCGTAGTAGATAATAAAGATCTTGATCGGAACCTTCGCCATCACCCACCCGCCGTGGTACCGAATCGGCAGCGCTTTGCGGCGATTCCATTGCCCTACGGCGAAGCTTCGCGCGATCCGCAGTTCTCGCGATCGCTTCGTCGCTTCAGCGGCTGCCATGACCGTTGACTGTCTAGCCACCGACGACTGTGGTCGATGGACCGTATTGGAGAATCTTGTCGGATCGCTACTCGACGCGAAACTTCGAAGCGACGCGACGATACCGGAGGAGGGGCTTCGAGTGGCCTGAGTCTGTGAGCTGATACTGCTGCCACCACCACCTCCACTACTACCACCGCTATTACTAGATACTAGGTATCGTCTTGACGTCACCGGGAATACGTTGACTAGATTCGACGGTCTGAAATTTCCGCCGGCTGGTCTGCAGAGGACGGTCAGCGATCCCAAAAGAAGAAGAAAATTTGACCTGAGGCGGTCGACGCGGATTTGCGTGTACGCCATAATAGCGAGTTTCTTCTAATCTGCGTGGTCCGCGGAGGTCGTCTTATAGCAAAGGGTACCTACTAAACTTGCAGATGTTGTGTAAGTACGTTCTGCGACGAAATGTTAACCACGTGATGTTGAATCAGCGGCCCGGTGAGTCAGGTACAGCGGACCATGTGAGTTGTGAGAAGGAAAGCTGGGCCGATCAAAGATGCAGCTTTGAAGGAAGGCCATGCAGAAACTAAAGCCTTTCAAGGTACGACCAGCGTCAAGGTCGAACAAGCTTCGTAAGTTAGGATGTTCAATGCTGAACGAGCAACCCAGACGAAACGAGCGTACGAGTCCGTGAATGTAGATACAAGTCGTCGAGACACGCGAAGAACCGATAAGATCGTAGTTTACGAGGCGACAGCGCAGCGCATCATCCTAGACTGCCATAAAAACTATCAAAAGCAGCAGCCAAGCTCGAAAAAGCAGTGAGCTCGCCACCTGCCAGTGGACATTCAAATGGGACTCGGTCGGTACCCCCAAGGAGAAGTTGTGCCCTAGATAAAGTTTCAAGGTCCACGGTGATTGAGATTCCATGGCGGAAGGACACATGTGGGGAAGGGCGAGCGGGGGAGGAGTTGATGAGGGAGGGAGGGATGTGGAATGTATGGGCGACAAGCAGAGTGCCCCTCTGCGACGTTTCAGTCGTGGTCAGTCGTGTAGATATCGCCCCTGTGCGACCGTTCAGTGTTGTTAGGAGCGAAGAATTTGGGAAAATATGTCAATGGTAACTTACATGGGGCACTGTAACGCGTACGGTAACGATTTCAACGCAATTGGTAACTCGCTTAACGCGTTTGGTAACTCGCTTAACACGTTTGGTCACTCGCTTAACACATTTGGTAACTCTACACTAGCAGCCCATCACGCGAATGGTAACTACATGAAATTCCCGCCGAAATTGAGCCTGATTCTGGTTTTTCCCGCTCGCGTCAGAAAACAATGACGAATCCTGAAGCAGAAAACTCTGACACATTCTCCGAAATTCTGACAGGTTTCCGAAATTCTGACAGACTCTCCGAAATCCTGACACACTTTCCGATTTTCAAGCTAATTGCAAAAACGTCAGTGTTCTAAAAATCAGTGTTTATACACAATTGATATTCTGGTGCTCCTTCCGCAAACTGTGAGTACTTTTTTCTATCGTGCAGCCGGGGTAAACAGATCTATACCCCTTTCAAATGGCAGATAAATTTGAGAGCAACAACCTTAAACTTCTTGCGACCAGGCGTTTATGGTTCTTTATCTAAATTACGAAACATGTAATTCTCAAGAGAAGTATTTTTCCCACATGCAAAAATTCTCCAAAGTTGCATTAAGTATAAACAGTAAAATTTCCGAGGTCCTTTTGGGAATGTTTTTTAAATCGTTTTGCAAGTTCGCAATCATGCTATAGAAAAAATAAAAATTTACCATTTTTGTACGAGCTACATATATGTAAAAAATGGCCCTGAAACTTTGTGGTCCGTGGTATTAGAACAAACGGGGTCCTTCAAATTCGCGGCGAAACTTGTTTAAAAGAATATTACTGTGCGTAAAAGCTTTCAAACTTGATAAATTCCTTTTTTTCGGGCTCATTTCGGCGGGAATTTCATGTAGTTACCATTCGCGTGATGGGCTGCTAGTGTAGAGTTACCAAATGTGTTAAGCGAGTGACCAAACGTGTTAAGCGAGTTACCAAACTCGTTACGCGAGTTACCAATTGCGCTGAAATCGTTATCGTACGCGTTACAGTGCCCCATGTAAGTTACCATTGACATATTTTCCCGAAGAATTTCGGCCATTCCTTGAGGTGAATGCGTCGCATCGCAGACACTGGTCAATTGCAGCGGAATGGTGTTGGGGAGAGTGAGGTAGGGGGGGGGGGGGGGATCGTCGGGGCGCAGCAGGGGAAGGACATTGGGGGTTGTTATTGATGAAGGAAACATTCCATTTCCTGCCCGCTTTGTCGAAACGCGGTCAGTATCAGCTAAAAGGGGCCAGACAGGGTCACATCGACGATTGAGATGAATTGAGATGAAGCGTTAGACGGTCTGAATTGCGTCGATAGCGCCGAGTTTGCGCGACCGGCTTCGGTGAAGAAGGCGGCGCACAAAGCCCACCGTCGTCATTGTTTGCCTCTGCCCGAGTACCCTTCGTAAAAATAGGGCCACAAGAGCCAGGGTGGAACGAGCAGGCACTGCCTGTCCAGGTCCACTCTCTCGAGTCAGCAAAAACAGTCAGGAAAATATTATGTTTTCTCTGACCCAAACATTAACATGTGCTGTATACCACATTAAGGGGTGATCAAAGTGAGGCACCAGCTCGACGTCGAGGGATTTCGGTGAATCCTGACGGTTGGAACTTTTGATCCGAGGGTTGAAATTCGTCGACGTCCCTCGACGTCGAGCTGGTGCAGCACTTTGATCACCCCTTTATGTTCCTTCACAGTTCACCTACGGGTGCTTTGAAGGATCCCATTCGCTATTGTTCCTACAGTTATGCGGCGATTCTACAGTGGCAGTTCTGCCCCGGGCAGCGAAGCCGCACAAGCAAGCAAGAGTCATCAGATGGCGCGCCGCCGGGTTTCTTGACCCACTAAGAACCCCGTTCGGTGATAACTGGAGAGACGTGTTTTCAAAAGAACCTTGCACCTGAAAGCGTACTATGTGTATCAATCATACCTATCCTATGATCCATGGTTGCTGTGTGGTGATTCTGAACCAACCTTTCACAAAGAAAATGAACCACATGCATGGGGATTGGAAGAAAGGACCTTCATTCAAGACGACTATAATTTGTGATGCCAAATGACACTCAACAGATTTACCTGGATAAATTGATAACAGGCACACTGCTAGCATACAGCTAGTGACTATCCTAATCACAACAAGCATGCCATGCGTGTAGGCACACTGCTACGGTAGCATAAAACCAGTGGTAATCCTAGTCACGACAGAATTTCCATGCTTACATCGCTCTTAACCTCTGTCCCACGTCAGCAACTTTCCTGGTATCCCACACCTTCAGCTTCCCCTTTGATCCTCCCATAGCCAGGAAACCAGGCGCATCCGCGCAAAACGCCACCGAGAAAACCGCTCCCAGCTTAGGATTTGAAGACTCCAAACACCGAGCCTGGTTCCCCGTAAGGTCCCACAGCTTCACAGTCTTGTCTGTCGAACCAGACGCGAGTAGGTTCGGGATTTTAGGGTTCCAGGATACAGTGCAAGCTGCCTTGGTGTGCGCATGGATCGTGAAGAGGGCATTCGGAAAAGACGAAACTGACGACGCTGAGCTGGCGGCAGTGGCGTTGCTGCTGCCCGCCCGCGTGTCGTGGCAGCAGATGAGCCCGTCCTCAGAAGAGACGACGAAGCGCGTGCTGTCGTGTGGGTCCCATGCGAGGGCCTCCACGTCAGCAGAGACACCCCACCGAAGCACTGTAGCATCGGGCGACCGGACGTCCGTCTGAAAGGGAAACAGGGTGGCACGGTGGGGTGGGTGGGAAGGGGGGAGCGGGTGGCGGGAGGAGGGGGGGAGGTGGGTGTGTAGGTGTTTAAAGAGACCCACCGCAGCACTGTAGCATCAGGTGACCGCACGTCCGTCTGAGTGGTGGGAGGGGAGCGGGTGAATGGGGGAGAGGAGGGGAGGTGGATAAGTTTGGCGAGACGAAAAGCCATAAGGTTTGTGAGCTGGACGTCCGCAGAAGCCACTACACCCACTACACCCACTACACCCACTACAGGCAATAGGCCCCGTACCCATGTTAATGAGGCACCTACCAACATCAATATGGCAGCTATTAAAGCCAGACCAGTGTCAGCAGGAACTCACCAGAGCAAGGGAACGGTCGAACGACCCCGAGAGCAGGCTCGTGGCGTGCAGGGGCGTCCACGCCACGGCCTGCACCTTGCCGGTGTGCAGCTTGAACGTTCGGTCGCAAACCTTCACTCACCTTCACTCACATGTCCGTTCCAAAGCCAGCAGGGAACGTACCAGGGCGAGGGAGCGGTCAAAGGACCCGGAGAGCAGACTTGTGGCGTGGAGGGGCGCCCAAGCGACCGCCTGCACCTTCCCGGTGTGCAGCTTGAGCGTTCGGTCGCAGCGCTGAGCCGCCATGTCCCACACCTTCACCCGCCGGCCCCACCAGCCAGAGCTGATAACGCCCTTACCAGCGCCGCAACGTCCCTTTCAACAGCCAATGCCACGCCAATAGCACACGTACCAGGGCGAGGGAGCGATCGAACGACCCAGACAATAGACTCGTGGCGTGCAGGGGCGCCCAGGCGACCGCCTGCACCTTGCCGGTGTGCAGCTTGAGCGTGCGGTCACAGCGCTGGGCCGCCATGTCCCACACTTTCACCCGCCGGTCCTCCCCTCCGCTCGCCAGCACGTTCCGGTACTCGCGATTCCACGACAGAGCCATCACCGCACCCTTGTGGCTCCCCTCCTTTAGCACTGCCGCTGCTGATGATTTTCCTTGACCTTTTCCCTTTTTGCTGCTTAAGCGCTTTTCCGGTTCCCTCTCTCTGCCCTTCTTCCCTTTCTTTCCTCCCTTGTCCTTTTTCCCTTTCTTGCCCTTTGAACCCTTTTTAGACCCTGAACCCCCGCCGCCCATCTCCATCTCCTCCTCCTCCTCCACCTCCTCCCACTCCTCTTCGCCGTCCTCTTCCGCATCACCGCCCGCACCGCTCGTTGTAGTCACAAACCCTCCTAAAGCCGCGGCGGGTTCGACCTCGTCTAGAACGTCTAAGTCCCAGATTTCGATAGCAGGGTCCATCGTCGCAACTGCCACGAAGTTTCCTGGCGCCAGGACGCTCGCGCCGGCGCCCACGGCGGCAATCGCGGCGGCGGTCGCGCCGGCGGAGGAACCGCCTGCGGCAGCGGCGGCGGCGGCGGAGGGGTTGAAATCCATCCAGGCGAGAGCGAGCGGGAAGGCGGGAAGCATGATATCGTGGTGCACATACATGTTGAGCTCCTTGTCGTTTTGTGCCACGTCATCGCCATCCTCCCCCTCCTCTCTCTGCTGCTCCTCGCACACCCAAACCTCGATGAAGCTGACGTCATCCTCGTTCCGCGCCGCGAGAATGAGCAAGTCTGTATCGCGTATGGTGAGATCTTCGATCTCATCCTCATCGTCCTCGTCCTCCGCACCTTCCGCTTTGGTGAGGTACGGGTCTTCGTCGTTGCTTCGGTAATACGCCGCGCCGATGCCCTTCCCCGTGCCGAACAGGTTCGGCGCCGCGTCGGCCTCGTCGTCATAGTGGTCCATGTCCAGCTCAGCAAGCTCGTCTGCCAGCCTGTCATCCGCCGATTGGCCCTTCTTCGCCTTCCGGATCTCCGCCGCCAACGCCGCCGCCGCCGCCGCTGCCTCCTCACCGTCCGCCTCCCCTTCCTCCTCACTCCCCTCCTCCTCGTCCTCCTCTTCCATCGCTGCATCGTCGTCATTCTCCGCGTCCCTCTCTTCGCCATCCTCAGCGTCGGCGTCGCCCGCGCCGCTAGCTACGGCGGCGGCGGCCGCCGCGGCGCCCTCTGCGCGGAGCCGCACCTCCGCGACCTCCTCCTCGTCGAGCTCCGCTGTTTTTGGGAACGGTTTCGCCGCGCCGCGCGGGACCCACGATATTGCCGACAACATGGCGGCAGGTTACAATGTTACGCCGGAAGTTGGAGCTCGCTACAAGGAGACGGCGTAAAAAGCCGGGAGAAGAGGATTTGGCCTGCCGTAGTGATAGATAGGGGGTGGTGTGGGAGTGGGAGGAAAATAAGGGCGAAAAGGAAAGCTCGAAATGGGGTGTGGGGGGTTGAGGATTTTAGGCAGGGTTTCGGGTTGCGGATAGTGTTACCAAGTCCATTTCGTGATCCCAGTTCGCCTGATACTGTAGGCTGGAAAATTGGCCAAGTGCTCCTCGCTAAAACGAAGAATGTTCTGGATAAATCGGGGATATGACGAATCACGTGAACGAGGTACGGGAGCTTCACTAGATATGTCCGACGTCGTATCTCCTCCCCGTCCACCCTCGATATTTCCTCATCGAATACCTGAAGATTTGTATTTTCTGCTCCACGTATTTCTCCCTCCAGATTCCCTAGCCTGATTTTCCCTTTATCCTGCATCTGCTGATCAGCCCACCATTCCATTCTCGCCGACATTCGAGTCTTGATAAATCTGCCGAAGCTTCTCGAGACCCCTAAGACAGACAGATCTCTTGGTTTAGGGTGAGAATAAGGCTGCTGGAAATAAGTGATCCCTTCGTTGATCTCCATCATCCTCGTGCTGCTTCGGATCTCGTTCAGTCGATTCTTCCCACTCGATCGTTCCCGACTGGATTAGTCCTGCTTCCTCGTCCGATCTATTTGTCAGTCAACTCTCAGTAACGTGGATCCGTCTAATATCAAGCTCGTCCGACAGCCGAATCTCACCATTTGACTTGACGGAATCCGTCAACGTCTGACAACTTTCAACCTTCGCTCTCCTACCGCTGAAATCCCATTGTCTGATTCGAAGAATCCTGGACTCCACGAGCTCAAGTCTACCGGTTGAATTCTGTCGTCTCATTCCATTTCCGTTGTTCAGACGCGTCGCCATGGCATCTGAAGCCGATAAGTCCAACCCTGGGCTGGTCGCTGCCGCCGATGCGCCCGTCGAAAACGGAAGCTCAGACGCTCCAGATACGATAAACGGTGCGAATCCAGATGGCTCCGGTGCCGCGGAAGCAGCGGGAGACGCAGTTGCAGCAGAAGCCGAAGCTGCTGCAGGCGGAGGGGAAGGAGCAGGAGGGGAGGGTGGTGTAGGTGGTGGCGAGGGAGCGAAGAAGGCGGGAGAGGAGGGCAAGGAAGGGACGGCGAGCGAGGTGCAGGCGAATCTGGAGAAGAAGAAGGCGCGCGCGGAGCGGTTCGGGACGGAGCTGACGATCAGCGAAGCGGAGAAGCGCCGCCTGCGCGCCGAGCGGTGAGCGCCAGTCGCGAAACGATTGGCGAGGTGTGCGAAAACGTGATGTGCGGCGTTTCGGCCTATCCTCCTACCCGTTCTTCCAGACTCGGCATTTTGGACCACCACGGCGGAAGACGCCTGTTCAGACGACCTGATTGTGACAGGATCGGTCGTCGTCGTTACATTTATAGCGTCGCGGTTCTGCGTTCTGTGCCACCTGCCCCCTGCCCCTTCTAGTGAGGGTGTTTTTGAGACGTCTCAAAAACACCCTCACTACACGTGGCTGCCCCTTCTCACAGGTTCGGCACTCTGGGCGCCACGCCTTCGGCGGAGGACGCGTTTTGAGACAACCTGATTGTGACGTGATTTTCGTCGTTGTGTCTGTGACGTGACCGTTTTGGGTTCTGCTCCACGTGCCCCCTTCCCCTCCCTCACAGGTTCGGCACTGTGGACGCCACGCCTGCGGCGGAGGACGCCAAGAAGGCGGCGCCGTCTTTTTTCCGCCTGTGACATTTCATCTTCTTTTGTCATCGTTTTTCCGTACCTGTGCTTCCAGGTTCGGCACTGCGGACGCCACGCCTGCGGCGGAGGACGCCAAGAAGGCGGCGAGAGCCGCCAAGTTCGGAATCAAGGCGGATAAGGACGCCGGGAATGGCGCGGGCGGTGGGAGCAGCGCGGACAAGGCCGCGGAGGAAGCGCGGAAGAAGGCCCGCGCTGAACGGTTCGGCACGAGCCAGCTCTCCGCGCTGAGTGCGGAGGAGGCGGCCAAGAGGGAGGCCCGAGCCAAGAAGTTCGGCACGGGGGGAGACGGAGCAGCGTTGTCTGGAGGGGATAAGAAGAGAGACACGTGAGTGGGCAGGAATGGTGCACGGCATGGTAGCGTGGGTGTCTCTGCGGGGGGTGGGGAGATAACGGGGTGTTGTTTTAGAATGTGAGTTTCCCAGCTGTCCGCTTTGTGCACGATAGCATGGGTTTCCGTTGGAATGCGGAAACCCAACGGAGGCGCATTCCTTCGCGCATGGGTTTCCGTTGGAATGCGACTCAGCTGTCCAGTCTGAGCGCGGAGGGGGCGGCCAAGCGGGAGGCCCGAGCCAAGAAGTTTGGCACTGCGGGAGATGGTGCCGCAGCTTCAGGAGGGGATAAGAAGAGAGACTCGTGAGTGGGCAGGGATGGTGTATGTGGGCAGGGATGGTGCATGGCATGTTAGCTAGCATGGGTGTCCCTCTGGGAGAAGTTATCAGGGGAGTTGTGTTTGAATTTGAGATGAGTTGAGTTGTGAGGCGCCTCAAGAGTTCAATCTTTCGTCTTCTCCCTCTCCATTCTCATGCCCCTTCTCCCCGCCCTCTCCCTCTCCTTCTCCCCCTTTCACCTGCCAGGTCCGCCAATCCTGCGGACAGCGAGCTCGATTAAAGTTCTGAGGCACATCGCTACCTGTCTTCATTGATCTCACGCTCACTCGCTCCCTCCCCTTCCTCTCTCGCGCCCTCCCTCTCGCTCTCCTCCCCCTTTCACCTGCCAGGTCCGCCAATCCTGCGGACAGCGAGCTCGATTAAAGTTCTGAGGCACATCGCTACCTGTCTTCATTGATCTCACGCTCACTCGCTCCCTCCCCTTCCTCTCTCGCGCCCTCCCTCTCGCTCTCCTCCCGCTTTCACCTGCCAGGTCCGCCAATCCTGCGGACAGCGAGCTCGATTAAAGTTCTGAGGCACATCGCTACCTGTCTTCATTGATCTCACGCTCACTCGCTCCCTCCCCTTCCTCTCTCGCGCCCTCCCTCTCGCTCTCCTCCCCCTTTCACCTGCCAGGTCCGCCAATCCTGCGGACAGCGAGCTCGATTAAAGTTCTGAGGCACATCGCTACCTGTCTTCATTGATCTCACGCTCACTCGCTCCCTCCCCTTCCTCTCTCGCGCCCTCCCTCTCGCTCTCCTCCCCCTTTCACCTGCCAGGTCCGCCAATCCTGCGGACAGCGAGCTCGATTAAAGTTCTGAGGCACATCGCTACCTGTCTTCATTGATCTCACGCTCACTCGCTCCCTCCCCTTCCTCTCTCGCGCCCTCCCTCTCGCTCTCCTCCCCCTTTCACCTGCCAGGTCCGCCAATCCTGCGGACAGCGAGCTCGATTAAAGTTCTGAGGCACATCGCTACCTGTCTTCATTGATCTCACGCTCACTCGCTCCCTCCCCTTCCTCTCTCGCGCCCTCCCTCTCGCTCTCCTCCCCCTTTCACCTGCCAGGTCCGCCAATCCTGCGGACAGCGAGCTCGATTAAAGTTCTGAGGCACATCGCTACCTGTCTTCATTGATCTCACGCTCACTCGCTCCCTCCCCTTCCTCTCTCGCGCCCTCCCTCTCGCTCTCCTCCCCCTTTCACCTGCCAGGTCCGCCAATCCTGCGGACAGCGAGCTCGATTAAAGTTCTGAGGCACATCGCTACCTGTCTTCATTGATCTCACGCTCACTCGCTCCCTCCCCTTCCTCTCTCGCGCCCTCCCTCTCGCTCTCCTCCCCCTTTCACCTGCCAGGTCCGTTAATCCTGCGGACAGCGAGCTCGATTAAAGTTCTGAGGCACATCGCTACCTGTCTTCATTGATCTCACGCTCACTCGCTCCCTCCCCTTCCTCTCTCGCGCCCTCCCTCTCGCTCTCCTCCCCCTTTCACCTGCCAGGTCCGCCAATCCTGCGGACAGCGAGCTCGATTAAAGTTCTGAGGCACATCGCTACCTGTCTTCATTGATCTCACGCTCACTCGCTCCCTCCCCTTCCTCTCTCGCTCCCTCCCTCTCGCTCTCCTCCCCCTTTCACCTGTCAGGTCCGCCAATCCTGCGGACAGCGAGCTCGAGGCTAAGAAGAAGGCTCGGGCGGAGAGGTTCGGCACATCCGCGCCTGCCGGGGCTGATGCTGGGGCTGCCAAAGATGAGGGCGGCGCTGTTGCGGGCAGCAGCAGCTAAAGGCGACAGGGGGGGGGGGGGGGGGAGAGGGAGGTGGGGTTTGGGTCTTCGGGGATTGCGGTGCCTCAAAGGTAATCTGGTGCGGGCGGCAGCAGCTAAAGGCGACAGAGGGGTTTGGGACGGTGGGGGGGTGGGAAAGGGGCGGGGGGGGGGGGGGGAGGGAGGTGGGGAAAGCGTGGTTGGTTAGGGGGCTGCAGAAATTGAGGGGTGTGCAGTTGGGGAGTGGGGCAGGTAGTTTCGGGTGCAGGTAGTTTCGGGTGCAGGTAGTTTCGGGTGCGCACACACATATTCGGGTTTGGGGGTTGAAGACAAGAGAGGCTGCGCGGTTACCGAGGGTGAGGGAAAGAGTCGTGGGTGCGTTGGGGGATATATGTGTAGCTTAGATTAGAGTGTGTGGGGTTACGGGGTTTGGTCATTGGAAGGTGCGTGGGGTGTGTGAGTGAGGGTGTGGTGCGGGGTATGGGGTGGGGGGTGTGGGGGGTGAAAGCGTGGCAGTGTGGGGGACAATATGTGCGCAGCAGCCGATGCTCAATGGGAGGTGTGGGTCGCAGGGAGGGGAAGGGGGACTAATTCTGAGGCGCCTCAAAAGTGGCAGTGTAGGAGACAGTATGTGCGCAGCGCAGCAGTTGGTGCTCAGTGGGAGGTGCGGGTCGCAGGGAGGGGAAGGAGGAGGAAGAGGTGGCACCTGTAAGCGCGGGGCACATGACAGCTGCATGGAAGGCGCAGGGAGGCAGGGAGGCAGGGAGGCAGGGAGGCAGGGAGGCAGGGAGGTGTTAGCACTGCGATGGCAGCTGCAGGCGAGGCGCGTGAAGGCAGCAGGAAAGAGGGTGCTTGACACAGTGGTTGTTGGGGAGAGACGGGAGGAATAGAGGTGTTGCGAACGGCGGGGAAGCTGCTGAGCACGTGTTGGTATCTGTAGGCGCGGGGCTCAGGATTTGGTGGCGTGAGGAAGTGCGGGGGAGAGCGGAAGAATGGGGGTTTCAGACGGCAGGGCAGCTGAGCACGTGTTGGTACCTGTAGGCTCACGGCACAGGAGATGGTGGCGTGAGGAGGAGTGGATTGGAGGGAGTAAAGGCAGCAGCAGGTGCAGGGGAGCGGTGTCACTCTTGAAATTTCTCTGTAGTGTGAGGAGTGAGCGGCACAAATGGAGGAGTGAGCACAGCATATGGGGGGTGTGAGCGCAGCGTATGGGGGGGTGAGCGCAGCATATGGGGGAGTGAGGCCCAACATATGGGGGGGTGAGCGCAGCAGGATCAAGGGAACGGCGGTTTTCCAGCACTGATGAGGGGAATGAGATGATTTTGAAGATTCTCAAAAGGGAATGAGATGCTTTGGGGTGCGGGTGTTTGGGATGGTGTTGGGATGAGGCAGGGAGGCAGGGAGGCAGGGAGGCAGGGAGGCAGGGAGGCAGGGAGGCAGGGAGGCAGGGAGGCAGGGAGGCAGGGAGGCAGGGAGGCAGGGAGGCAGGGAGGCAGGGAGGCAGGGAGGCAGGGAGGTGTTAGCACTGCGATGGCAGCTGCAGGCGAGGCGCGTGAAGGCAGCAGGAAAGAGGGTGCTTGACACAGTGGTTGTTGGGGAGAGACGGGAGGAATAGAGGTGTTGCGAACGGCGGGGAAGCTGCTGAGCACGTGTTGGTATCTGTAGGCGCGGGGCTCAGGATTTGGTGGCGTGAGGAAGTGCGGGGGAGAGCGGCAGGAGCAGGAACAGGCAGGAGCAGGGAGGGGCAAAAACAGAGAGGTTTAGTAACTAGGAGGTGCAGAAACGGGGAGGGGCAGGAACAGGGAGGGGTAGAAAGGGAGGGTGAGTCATAGTGGCTGTGAGAGGATTAGAGGGAGAAGAGGAAGCAGGGAGCAGAGGGACTTTTGAGGCGCCTCAGAAGACAGCAGAGGGAGCAGAGGAAGCAGAGGGAGCAGAGGGAGCAGAGGGAAGTGGGACGAATAAAAAGAAAACGATTTCGTGTTGATGCTTACTTCTACTGAACAGCCTTGGCGTTTCTGCATCGCTGCAGCAAGCTTCATCACTTACTGCTGTCGCGGGTCACCATTGTCTGGGCAATTCGTCTGGAGGACGGCAGAGTGTGCTGAAGGGCAGAGTGGGTTGAAGGCGTGTTTGGGATGCAAAGAACCCTCAGAGGCTTGACACGTGATTGAGAAGCCTTGTCAGCAAGCGAAGGAACAGCCGATGAGTCCTTCCCGCTATTTTCATTCTGAAGTGGCTTCTTCACCCTGTCCACTATTCTCTACCAGCCTTTCCCCTACCGCCCCTCCCTCTGCCACCCTTCCCACAGCCGCTTCTCTCCTTGCTTTGCCACACAGCATGCCTGCCCACCTCAGGTCCTCACATTCTCACGGGCACTTATCATTCCACTATTCCCCGCACTGGATACTGCTACTGTCACCGCTCCCAACCATTGCTCACCTGCTGCCACCATTCCCAACCACTGCTTGCCGCATTGAATCACAACTACTGCGTACCAGACTGCCTGCAGCCACCGCTCCCGGCCACTGTTCACCGCACTTCATGCCATTCGACCGCGCGGCCTGCAACCACCCACCTGCCACCTGAATTCCTCGTGACAACCTCTCTCCTCACTCTGTACCCTGCCACTAGCCAGTGGCGATTTCTGAGGCGCCTCAAAAGTTAGCCGCAACTTTCTCAATTCCTCATGGCAGCTCTCTCTCGCCTCAATCTGTACCGTGCCACCACCTCCGCCAGTGCCGCCACTCACTCTCTCCGCCAGTGCCGCAGACCACACATATTTCAGAGGATGTAAATCTTTAGGCTCCTTCGAAACCATCTCATATCATTTCCACCAGCACAGAATCCTGCCAGCCACCTCATCTCCAGTGCTGCAGATCGCATTCCTTAGGCACTGTAATACCATATCTCATCTCTGCCAGTGCCGCACCCTGCCACCATCTCTGCCAGTGCTGCATACCGTATCTTCCAGGGGGTGTGAGGGATGTGCCATGCATTTCCATCCGCCTGCCCCTCCTCCCCCCCTTCCCTTTCCCCCCCCCCCCCCCCCCCACCACCCCCTCTACACTCTCTCTCTCTGCCCATCACTCTCCTCTCATTTTCTTTTCTCATGGTTCTTATTTCGTTGCGTCCTGCTTTCATCCCTTCGTCCGGTCTTTTATTCGCTTATGTCTTCTATTTTTGCCATGCCTTTTCTCAGTTGCCCGTATTTTTCTGCTCTTTTTCGAGTCTTGCGTTGTTTCGTTGCTTGTGTTGCTTTCCCTTCTCTATCTACTTCCTGCTGGCTTCTAGCTGCCTAATCCCCTATGTTCTACTTCATTCGGCCTTCCACTTAGCGTGCGGCACTGGCTGGGACATATACTCAACGCAACTCCCGAGCATGACTGTACCCCTTAGTTTCAGGCTCGCTAACCATTTGTTATGAAACATATGCATGAGGTTGAGCAGTATGTTCTCTTTACGCCGCTTCTAATCTGTGTAGACTCTATCTGAAAGCATAACATTTTATTCATATATAATTCCCCGATCAGAAGCACGGTATCTTGGCAAAATTGTATGCTAACGGGCAGCAGGCAGTAGGCAGCAGCAGCAGCAGCAGCAGCAGCAGAACTATGAACTACGCTAACAAAACCCCATGAAGTAAGAAACCATGATATCACCATCTCCCTCCATTCCACTCTCAACCTCTACGTGATTCAATCTGTGCAATAACCCCTTCCAAAAATCGTCTTACGTTGGTCCGAAATCAGAGGGCACATATCTACAAAGCACTCCTACAGCATTGGTAGGTTGTGGAGAGAGGGTCGGGCCAGCTGCTCACAATCACACAGTTGCATCCGCTTCAGCCGGGGTAGGTCTTGAAAAGAGGCAGGGAGTCTATGGAGATTTGGCAGACAAAACAGCTCAAGCTCCTGGAGGGAAAACAGGTTTCCCAAGTCTTGTGGAAGGGATGACAATTTCGGGCAATCGCCGAGCGAGCAAATTCGTAAGTTGGGCAGTTTGGGAAATGATTCTGGAAGCTCGTATAGCTCTGGGCAACCATGGATGTAGAGTGACCTGAGCTTCTTCAGCTGCCCAAACGACTTGGGCAGCTCCCGCAGTCTTCCTAGTTCTTCCAAATGAAGAGACTCAAGTTGCGAGAGTCGACCCACTGCTTCCGGTAGTTCTTCGAGGCACACGGCGTAGGTAATGTACAAGAGTTGCAAGTTGGACAGCCGAGAGATATTAGCAGGAATTGTACAAAGTGCAGGCATACCCTCCAGCCGCAGTGTCTCCAATGAAAGCACACAACCCAATGATGGATCAAGTGCTTCAGAGGCAACATTCATGAAGCATAGAAATTGCAGCGACAGAAGCACGCTTGCTTCAACACACTCAAAAGTGCTGCTGCTGCCGCCGCCACTGCTCCCGCCACTGCTCCCGCCAACCAAGGCGTCCATTGTGCTCCGTTTGCCCAGGCTCTTGCAGCCATAAATCTCAAGCTCCTCCAATCGAGGCAGCTTCAACAACGACCGAGGCAGAGATTCCAAGCCATTTAAACTGGAAAGCTCAAGATTCTTCAGCTTTACCAACTGCCCAAACTCCTCTGGTATTGCTTTCAGCTCCTTGCAACCATCCACTTCCAGGCTTGTGAGGGCGAGAGCCAATCTGGAGAGCGAAGTAGGAAGGGAAGTTAGATTCGGGATGGATGATAAAGAGAGGTGCCTAAGGCGTGTAAGGCTGTTGAAGCTCTCGGACAAGCAACCTCCGAAGCACTCGGCGTATCCGAGGCGTAATACTTCAAGTGACGACAGTCGAGAGAAGGACCCAGGGACGTGGATTAGGCCTTTGCAAACTAGACGCAGCTCACGAAGATGGCACATCCCATCCCCCAAGCCCTCTGGTACAGCAGTTAACTCCGGGCAACACTCGACTTTTAAAATCTGAAGAGAAGATAACTGGGTAAGAGAGCTGGGTAGCTGCTGCAGCTGAGCACACTGAGAAATGTCCAGCTCCCGCAATTTCAGCAGATGTCCGAGGGATTCTGGTATGTGTCTGAGTTCTGGAAGGAGTGTCAGACGCAGAATTTCCAACGCAGTCAGCTGCCCGAAGTCATCGGGCAAGGAAGAAATTCTTGGACGACCATTGGGAGCGTGACGGCTGACAGTCCCGAAGCTTGCCAGCTTGACGAATTGAAGCTTTGATAATCGGCCAATGCCATCTGGTAGGTCTGAAAGATTATCCACCTGCAAGTTTAGGCTCGTGAGGGATGACGTACTAGGCAAGGACCGGGGCAGCGACGAGAAATTAGTAGAGTAGCTCTTGATGGTAAGAGTTTGCAGTTGCTGCAGCAGCCCAACGGTCTCTGGAAGCTCCGTAATTCCCTCTACAACTAGGAGGCTTAGGATTTCCAGCGCCGGCAGTCCTCCAAAATCCTCAGGCAGAGGCAAAAGATTCGCACAATCTCTTAACTCGAGCTCCTTCAGTCGTCGAAGCTTGGAGAGGCCACTCGGTAACTGAAATGTCCGGCAGCCTTGGATGGAAAGACTGTGCAGATTGGAGAGCTGCTGAATGGATGATGGGAGTGAGCGTAGAGAGCGAACGCACTCCAGCTGCAGTGACTTCAGAGAGACGAGACTACCGAAATTCTGTGGCAAATTGCGCAGCTTATTCATGCTTAGCTCAAGGTTCTCAAGCGACTGCAACGAGGTGATAGCGTCAGGAAGATGCTGAATCCCACGGGCTGTGAGGGAAAGTCTTCTAAGACGAGACAGGTTGTCGATGGAAGGTGGAATGGTACGGACACCCAACGGACAAACGAGACGCAGATCCTCCAGTCGGGTGCAACCTTCGAAAAGGCGTGAAAGTCCATTCGTAGTGAAAGCATTGCCGCGTTCGAACGCCTCCTTCATTGCGCCGATCTGAAGACAAACTAGATCGGGATGCGATTCGGCAAGGCCAGCAAGGAAAGTGTCTGGGACGACAAGCAAACTTCCGTTTGAAAAAACGAGTTTCTTCAGAAAACGAAACGCCGCGAGCAGAGCAAGCAGCTGGCGATGATTCATGCGACGTTCATCGGACACGCTAAGGACGTCCTGCACGCGATACGCTACTTCACGCCACTTTGTACACACCAGAGCATGCTGAAACTCGTCGGGTCGAACAACTAGGTGCAGGATCTTGGCGAGCAAATCGCCGGATAAACGTCGGATCGGAGACTCGTCGGACATCGTAACTGATCTAGGTCGACGGGAAAGCACGATAGTGACTACTTCGGCCTACCGCGAAACCAAAATGACTTCTAAGGAAACTAGGACTTCCCAGCTAACAAACTATCCTTCTGACGAAACACGGAGTAAGGAAGAACTAACAGGATCCCGAACAAGCTGACGTAGAGGAGAAATGGCAGAGATGAGAAATGCGAAATGAGAAATGGCAGAAATGGAAGTGAGCTACTGTGTGAGATGGGTAAGGTAGGGAAGGTAAGGTACGTTAGGCTTCACCAATTCCCAGTGAGTACAAAGTTATCCATTCGAGCCGCGCTTCTCGAGCACCCAGGCTCCTCGTTCCTACATGGAGCCATGAGCTTCCTAGGTTTCGTCCCGAGCTTCACGAATCTGACAGATCAAAAAGACCAGCTGGCTGAACGAAAGACCAGCTGGCTGAACGAAAGACCAGCTGGCTGAACGAAAGACCAGCTGGCTGAATATCGTGCTGGATGAGGGCTGGGAAGCCCAAATCAGGTATCCACTAACCTGACCAGGTTGCTTCGAGGACAAGGAGAGCCTGTAGGCTCCATTTAGCCTGATCATTCTTCAAACGTTAGGCTTACACGAATTCCCCGTGATCACCGTCTTGTCCCGAGCTATCACGTGAATTCACGAATTTCTGTATGGAGCCAGAATTCAGCGTTGTGAGTTCCCTAGGTCCCGTTCCGAGCTATGACGAAACTGACAGATTTGAAGTGAAATGTGGACCCAACCGACTGGATTTCGTGCTGGACGAGAGCTAAGGTGACACGGCTGGGCTATGAGGCTGAATCTAGACTAGAAGGGCGTGTACGGATACAAATTCCTGATTGGTGCTCCGCTAATCAGGAACCGCTACATTTCGGGAGCTGGCTGGTTGTGCAACCCAGTCGTCGTGTCGATTTTAGTTGTGAAGCTTTCTTCTAGGAACGCCTTGAGCTCTGCTTTTCTGTCCCAAGGAATTTCAAGTGGAGTTGGCTGACGAAGGCAGATGGTTCGCAAACCAAGTCAGCTCACTACTGAACTGGAGTTACCGTGACAGCTTCACAACGCTCGCGAAAGAGGCTGACGAGTGGCGAAAAAGTCCTGTCCAAATAATTCAAAATGTATCAACACTTTCGAACCGTTGTATTGTATGGGCAAAACTCTCTGCACCGTACTCTAGTATTGTGGACGGACTGGACAGCGTGAGATTTGTTCCAACTACCTCGCGACAGTCCCAGCCAATAATGTTCCAATAATAAATGCTTCAGCTCAGCAGCACAGACCTCTAGACAGTAGTTTGATGGTTAGTTTTACGTAAGAACGCAGGCCGCGAAAACCGGATGCAGCAGCGTCTAGATTCATTAGAACGGAACGGCTCTTTTGCTCCGTGGGTGGGGCACGACGACATGTGCACCGCGGCGCGGTTTTGCGAGGCCCTGTTGTAGTCATCGCGCCAGCGGTGTTGTTGGTGCTTCCAGTGTCATCGTCGCAACTTCCCGTCGTTGCATCCGATGGTAGGGAGTCCATACGCGCTTCGCCATCCGCTCCATCGCACCGAGGATCCAGGCTTCGCCATTCCACCGTCGCACCGTCACACAGAGCTTCGCCATCAATGCAATTCGCCATCGCACCGTCCCACATAGCTTCGCCATTCAATTCGCCGTCGCACCGTCGCTTCGCGTCGAGACGGCCTTTCGGCGATGATCCCCTGAAAGCTGGTCGAGCTCGACATCACTGCTTCGCACACCGTCGCGCCATCACGTCGCTCGATCCGATGATTCGATTTGCATCACCATACGGCCTTGCCGCCTGCTGTATGTACGCCCAGTGATCGTGACTGACGCGAGAGGACACAGGACAGGGGGGTGGGAGGCTGCGATGATAGCCGGGGGAGTTGGCGAAGCTGGTGTGGGAGATGGGTGTGAGAGAGGAGCAGGTGGGCGCATATGAGTGCGAGGGTTGAGAGGAAAGGTTGAAAAGAACGGGTTTTTTCTAGAAATGGTATCTGAAAAACGAGTTGTGTATGAGAGGGATGTTGCGAATAGGTCGTACGAGAGTCTTCCAGCTCGAATTGAGCGGAATGAAATGCTGCCATAATGATGGATGTGATGGGATGATGCATGATGGGATGATGCATTTGATGGGATGATGCTTGACTGGATGATTGGATTGTGCATTGGACGATGCATGATGGGATGATGCACGATGGGATGATGCATGATGGGATGATGCATGACTGTATGTAGGAGGTGTTGGGTTGTGGTATGGGGGGTGATATGCGCATAGTAGCTGATGCGAAAAGGGAGTGCGGATTAGGGAGGGCGGGAGGTGTGAGGGCAGCTGCGGGAGAAGAAGGCCACAGATGGGAGGTGTGAGGTGAAAGGACACAGATGGGTTGAAAGGCACGCGAGAGCAGCAGGTGGAGGCAGGTGGCGGTTTAGGGCAGTGTGGGGCATGATGGGATCTTTGAAGGGCGGGTGCGGACGGAGATTGGAAAGGGGATGGCATGTGTGGATGTTTGGGGTACTGAGGGTGCGAGGGCGGTGTGGGAGGTAGGGCTGTGCTGGGAAGGGAAGGAAGAGGAAGAGGAGAAGGAAGGAGTTAGGAGGGAGGAGGGGAGAAGGCAGAAGGGAGAACAAGGAAGAAGGAAGCAGGGTGGAAAATCGTGATAAGCAATTGGGGGAAGAAGTAGAAGCTAAACAGCTGAATTCAACAGAGGCTGCGAGGGGCGAGAGCAGGGAAGGACAGCCTGTGCAGGAGATTAGGGTGAGGTACTGTGGCTGTGGAGTGGAGCAGGGAGAGCTAGTAGTAGCGAGAGGCAGGGAGGGAGTCGATCAGGAGAAGTGGTGAAGCAGGGAGCAGAAGAAGGGTTTGAAGTAGTGGCCAACGGTGTTATAATTTCAGATGCTGTAGGAGCAGATACACCCGTCCTGCTGAGGCCGATGGATCTTCATTTTCTCGCTGCTGCCCTACTGGCTGCCACCACTTCCAACCACTGTGTACCGCACTGCCTACCACCACTGCTACTGCAACCCAGTTTCTACCACACAGCTGCTCACTTGCCAATGGCACTACTCTCCTCGTTGCAGCTCGCTCCATTCTGCTCCACTATGCTCTGCTTCTCCATCATCTGCTGATGTTTGAGTCGTTAAAGAAATTAACCTGCAGCTGCCCACTTGCCTACAGCATTGCAGCTCGCTCCGTTCTGCTCCACTCGTCTCCTCTCTGGTCCTCCAGCATCCGCTTCTTGCCTGCCTGCCTACCGTTCAGATCCTGTTTCCTTCTTTTCCACACGGAGAGCAGCAGCTGCACCTTGCTGCATCTGCTGTCACACCACACTGCGCTGCATCGCCCACCACTGCACTGTTTCTACCACCACAGCCGCCACTACTCTGAAGCCCTCCCTATGCCCTTGCCTGCGCTTTGCAACCATCAGCCGTTTTCAGTCCCGCATCTCTATGCCCTCATCTCTGTCAGTGCCGCGTTTCTGTCTCTGCCCTTTCCCCCTATCACTCTCATGTTTTTCGTTGATTCTTTGCTCCTTGCTTTCATCACTTTGTCTTGTGCGTCACTAGTGTCCACTTTCGCTCTTAGCCTTAGCTTTCTCCACAATAAAGAATCTGACAAATTCTTTGCTCTTAGCCTCCACATTCTCCACAATAAAGAATCTGACATATTATCTTACCACCCCCCTCCCTCCCTCTCCCCCCCCCTCTACTTCATCTCTTCTCGTCAGTCAATTGCTATTTGTCTGGGTTCCTGGTTTTGGCACACTACTTCTTAATGGTTACGCTATTTGTTGTCTATTTTGTGCCCATTAATGTTTGCTCCTCTCCTGCTTTTTGGTATTCTTCTCCATTCGACCTTCCATAATAGATCGCAGAAGCAACTATAGAACGTGTACCCTGCACCAGTTGAGCGCTCTGCTCCACACGCGGTGAGGCTCGTAACGTTTCCTTTGTCGGCATCGCTTTACTGACATAAGTCTGAGTAGGTGGCGTTGTTAGAAAGGCGTGCGTTGCTCTGGTGTTCTATTTCCCGTGAGCACAGTCGAGTTGAATCAGTTTCGCAAAGACTTCCAGTGCAGGCTCACATCGTATGAGTGGGAAGGTGTGCGAAACCTTCTGCGACCCATTGGCTGTCTTCTTCACTTCATGCGACCCATTTTTTCGCTTTGGTTTGGTGGGAATCGCAGGTTTGGTATGCACGAAATGTCGAATTGCTCGCGGAGGTTTGTTGTTCTCGCCAAAGCTACACAACCGAAATAGGTTTCGCACACCCTCACCTACACCCTATTTCAAATCCACATAACTTGAAACTTTACCATGCTGACCCCGGGCTTTAAGCAACCATCATCCTCTTCAACCAAGCGACCCCAATCTCTTGGAGAAAGCCGAGGCTCCCCATCAGCACAAGCTCCTCAGCTTATACAACCCTAGTCTCTCCATCCCCCACCAACACAACCCCCTACCTTACTCAGCTTCTGTGTGGACCTTCCCCTTGGGGATATTCAGGCGCTTCAGCCCCAGCATCTTGGCATCCAATCATGCAGCTTCATTCACAATCCCCAATCCCTCCAGTCCTGCTCCCTCCGCCCACAAGTAACCCAATCCCTTGGGAATGTCAAGGCCCCTCTTCAGCCCAAGCACCTTGGTGTCCAGCTCATGCAACCCCAGCCT